CCCCCCCCCCCAGCCAGGAGCCCTCCAACGGCGTCCAGCACGGAGCAGAGAACCACCTCCGACTGTCCTCGAATCTTTGACCTTTGACCCCGTTGTCCCGTTGGGGTGATCCCGGCTGTGGGGCTGGGGGGGGTTCGTCCCTTTTGGGGTCCCGCTGTCCCCGCAGTGCCATCTGCCTGCGGCTGCGTGGCCGCCCCGGCCGGATTAGCGGGTGACGGCCCCGTGGCTTAGCGGCCCTGCGGTCCCATATGTCAGCGCGGCCCCGCGCCCTGCCCTTGGGGGTGACCTTGGGGCGGGGACACGCGTGGCACTGCGTGACACGGCCGCGGGGACCCCCGTGGTTGCGGCGGCACCGCGCTCCTCGTGCTCGTGCCGGTGGCTCCGCGGTGCCACCGCAGCCCATGGGCGGCACGGAGGGGACGGCAGCTGCGTGCCGCGTCCCGCCCGGGTGTCCCCACCGTGTCCCCATTGTGTCCCCATAGCAGCGCTGCCCCGCGGCGCTGGGATTCACCTCCGGCCCTATTTATAACCGCGGGCCGCGGCGCCGTGCCACGCTCGCAGCGCGGGGCCAGCTGCGCTCCGTGTCCCCGGCCCTTTGTGGGTCACCGCCACGGCGTTGTCACCGACGGCGCTGCCGTGGGGCGGCGGTGCGGCGCGGGGGGAGCTGCGGTGCCGGGGGGCCGCGATCGTATCAGCGGTGCCACATGTGCTGATTACAGAAAATGGGTTAATCTCCGCGCGGCGGCCGGCGGCTCAGCGGGGGGCGGCTCGTGGCCGGGGCCGCGTGCGTTTGGTGCCCAGCGCGGTGGCGGCACCCGGAGTCGGGGCGAGCCGTGTCCCAGCCTGGGCTGCCCGCGTCCCACCCGTGGGTGCCCCGGCTTTGCGTTGTGCTGCGCTCGTCTGTGCTGTCCATCCACCGACGTGCCATGCGGGGCCGCGCTGCTCCCTGTGCCCCAAACGACCGGAGGTCACCACGGCCCGGCGCCGGGTACCCGGTGCCATCACACCGCGGGCACCGATGCCCCCCAAGGATGCGCCGTGTCTGTGGGTGCTGCCGAAGCAGCCCCAAGCGGTCTGGCAGCGTCCAGGTCGTGGTGCCGTCGTGGTGTGAGTGGCACCGGGAGCCCGTGGGTGCTGTGACACCCGCGCAGGGCTGTCCCCGAGGGGTTGGCGGTGTCCGTGGTGCCACCGGAGCAGCCCGGAGCAGACGGTGCGTTCCGTGGGCGGCGGCGGCGGGGCTGGGGGCCGTGGTGGGGCCGGGCAGCTGTTCCCGGGGAAGAATGGCGCGGCGGCGGCGGAGGTGTAACCGGAGCGCTGTTCCCGGTGTAACCGGAGCCGGCCCGGCTGCGACAGGTGGAATTTCAGCGCGCCGCTCCTGCCCGGCTGCGGGCACCGGCGGTGCTGCGGCGATGCGCCCGCGCCGTGGGGCGGCTGCTGGGGGGTGCGCGTCCCCGTGGGGCGGCGGGGACGGCGGCGGTGCCCCGAAGTGCCGTGGGGCCGAGCGAGGCCGCGGGCTCAGCCCCGGGCCCCCAGCCCTGCCCCGCGACTCCGGGCCCCGATGCCCACCCCACGGCCGCGCGGTGCATCGCGGTGTGAATCACCCGGGGACGTGAGAAACGTGACGGTGACTCACGGCCGCGGGGACGTGGGGACGTGGGGAGGGGGTCCCGCCGCCCCCAGCCCAGGGGGCGCTGCCGGGGGGGCGGGGGTGGCCGCGTGCCGCTCGCGTGCGAGGCTGTCCCAGCGCTGACAGCAGCGAGGAAACCGCGGGCTGCGGCCGCACGGCGGCTATGGGGCGCTTCCTGCTCTGCCC